GGAGTGAATGAGTGTGTGAGTGAGTGGGTGGGTGGGTGAGTGAGTGAATGTGTGAGTGAAGGGAGTGAATGAGTGTGTGAGTGAGTTGGTGGGTGGGTGAATGAGTGAGTGAAGGGAGTGAGTGAGTTAATGTGTGAGTAAAGGGAGTGAGTGAGTGGGTGAGAGGGTGGGTGGGTGAGTGAGTGAGTGAGTGAATGTGTGAAACGCATCTTGGTCTTTAAATTGGTATCGTTGCTCTGTAGCATTTTGGAGGGGTCCTCGAAAGCAGATTTTCCAAATCTTGGCATTTAAGGCACTTTTAAGGCACAAGTAAAGCTTTCCTTTGCGTCTGTAGTTGTGAGGTGCCGTCTAATCGAGTACAACTCATAGTAACCCTATGAACAACAGATCTGAACTCTGTCCTATCCTGTGCCATGCTCATCATCTGACACCATTCCATCTCATTGAAACTCTTCCTCTCTTTTGCTGATCCTCCCTTCCAAGAAAGCCCCTCCTAACAAAATGTCCAAAGTATGTGAGACCAAAACTTCACCATCTGTGCGTTTAAGGAGCACTTTAGCCATACTTTCTCCAATACATGTCTGTTTTACTTATAATCCCATTTATATTACTTTTTAAAAAAAGATATAAAAAAGCATTATACACTGATCTAGACAAGGAAGAACATAGCAGAATTGAAGGAAGACTCATTCTCAAGCTGCCATATGCACATAACACAACCCTTCTCACCAGAAGCAAAGGGAACTTGAAGCATTTACTGATGAAGATCACAGATTACACGCAGCCTTCAGTTTTAAAGAAATCTCAACATAAGGAAAACAAATACGCTCACAAGTGAATCACTAAGTATCATCACGATGAGGAGAGAAAAGACTGATCTTGTCAAGGATTGCATTTTTCTTGGATACACAATCAACATCCTCAGAAACAGCAGACAAGAAACCAACAGATGTAAAGCATTAAGCAAATCCTCGGCAAAAGACCTCTTGAAAGTGTTCAAAAGCAAACATACCATTTTGAGGACTAAAGTGCCCCTAATCCAAGCCATAATTAAGTCGCTGCCTCATTTGCATGTGGAAGTTAGACAATTAAGAAGAAGACCAAAGAAGAACTGATACCTTTTGCACTGTGGTATTAGTAAAGACTAGTGAATATATGGACTTGCCAGGTGAATAAACAAATTTACCTTGGGAGAAGTGTAACAAGAATGATCCTTTGAAACAAGGATGGTGAAGCCTGTCTCAAATACACCTTGGGTATGTTAGGGGGTGAGGGGACAAGTTCCTGGAGAAGAACATCATGTTTGGTACATTAATCAGTCAAAAAGACAACCTTTAATGAAATGGATTGACATAGTGGCTGTGAGAATGGGTTCAAATATAGCAACAATGTAAGGGTGGTACAGAATGGGCACTATTTCACCCTGTTATATATAGGGTAGCTGTGACTATGATGGCATCTTACAACATCATGCTGGGCTGATGCATATAAATAAATACATTTGTAGTGAAAGAATACACATACATGAATCAAAATGACAGATACCAAATTCAGGACAATTTCTGGAAAAGGAAGGAAGAAGATAGGATTCAGAAGGTGTATAAAAGAGGCCTTCAAGTACATTTGTCCTGAAAAGAATCATCTGAAGTTTGGACTGATTCAGTCACTGGGGCAATGGGGGTAGGTGTGTCAGAGACAATAAGGTTTGCACAGGAATAGACCAAGGTTTAGGGCTCTTGTATACAGGGTTGCAATGAGTTGCAAGAGACTCAACAGCACATAACAACAACAACAACAAAAAAGTTTGGTCGGTCACTCAGAGCTAACTCACAGCTGATGCTCCAGAGGCTTTTAGGGGCAGTAAATCATTCAGGAGGCAGACCATTAAGATTTGACAAATTTGGTGTTAATCTATTTGTACTTTTCTAAATAAATAGTTCAAAATAGTTTCTGATTCAAATATTATACACTCATTTTAGGAAATGTCAAGTTTAAGAAAGTATAAAGATCCTCATTACCAATAATACTATCACCTAGATTTCCTTCTATCATTTTAAATATGAATTTTATATGAATGTCTTATTTTTTAAAAACATGAAATAAAAGGCTGATTCCTCTTACCTTCATCGTTTCAATTTGAGTTTGACTCAATCTTTGGATATAATAAAGCAGCTTCTGTCTTTCCCCAAAGGAACTGAAATTAGAACATTACAAGTAAATTAAGCAATAATTACTTTATAATAGTTCCTGGAGTATATAACAATATATAGCCAATTCTACATTATCTGCACTGATGGTGCAGTCAGTGGGAAGGAGTAATTACTAATTTGAATATACACATTTCCCCCCCCACCTTCCTATCAGATGGGTAGTGTGCCTATGTCGTAACAAGGTTTACAGGGTGGCACATGTCATACAGAAGTATGAACACCCAATCCTCATTCTTATGAACCGGAAAAGGATCTGAATATACACATCCTTGAAACACTCTTCTTTAGCAATGATTCTATGAAACCCAGAGTCAACGAAGGCATTCCCCAAGGGTTGTCTTGGATGGTTTTCTCCTGTCTGTAGGTGAAACCTAGTTCTATGTTCTTTAACATAGACCTTCTTACCAAGCTCTAGTTTCACACTTCCAATTACATCCCTGCTGAATGTTCCATTTATACCTCAAACTTAAACATATCAAAATTAGCATCTGCTCCCCTGACTTGAAGATATAGGTCACAGGTTGGTGACCACTCAACATTATTATTACTTACATATCTTGAAAAGTGAATCTGGGAACAGCAGGAGACTTGGAAGTGTCAAACAAGGAAGAAAAGGAAAATAGCAAAGAAAGAAAGTTGATTATGCTGGTACCATTGTGAAACTTCTGGGACTCACTCAGATTTATTTAGTAAGACTTTCACAGTGATAGAAATGTTCTATACTTGCACAGTCCAACACTCATGCCACAAGTAGCTACTAAATACTTCAAATATTGCTAATCTAACTAAGAAACCCAGTTTTTAATTGAACTACATTTTTATTAATTTAAATATAGGTTGTTGTTGATTGCCATCAAGTCGAGCACAACTCATAGAATTGTCCTATAGGACAATGCAGCTCTAATAAGCGTGGTTAAATCCAGCCAAGAGTTACAACGTGGGCAAAAGAACTGCACCATGTCATGTTCCTCCCCGAAATTTAATCTTTTTATTCACTATGTGTTCCAAATTTTGGGAAGAAAACCTAGTGCACAGTGGGCTCTCCATGAGCATGTGTTGAATAAACTGAACAGTATGTGGTCCACAGAGAATTAAGTATATGGTTCTCTTTACACGAAAGACTTGACTGAAAATCCTGTTTATTTCAAACAATAGTTAACTATATACACACAAGAAAGAAAGAAAGTTTCTTTTTTTAAAAAAAGAAATAGTAAAAGGGAAAGTACAAAGTGAGCGGAAGTGGCTAGAGAGTAAAAGTATGAGAGAGTGAGGACAACATGTGGTTACAAAACAGCCAAGATGAAGGACTTGCAGACTCTGACCCAAGGGTCATTACTCAAAGTCAATTCATGTCCTAAGGTAATCTATTTTAATAATCTACTTTCATTATCAATTACCAAGCAACAAAGCATGAAGTAATTCAGTATAATCCTTTGTTTTGATTCCTTGGTAACTCTGAACACAAACAATATTCTGCCAAGTGAAACTTTATATAAGGCAAGACCCATCATGTATCATTATTGGTACAGGAGGGCCAATCTCCTCCTGTACCGGTCAGATCTGATTTGATGGTACACACACACACACACACGACTATTACTATAAAAGTAGAAAGATAACTAGTAAAACATATATGAAGATCCAAGGGGGGGCCGAGGCAGAGGGGTGAGGATGGGTAGCGGGGTAATCACTGGGTCACACAATTTCATGGGTAAACGAAAGGGCACGTAAAGGAAATGGGAAAGATCTGGTATTGAAAACAATGTATGCAAACTCTGCAAGCAAACCAATATAAAATGAAAATTTTATTTTTTAAAAAACAGCCCACAACATAAAGGAGCCTGGGAGACATTATACTGAGTAAAATATCTCAGTCACAAAAGGAGAAATACTGCATAACACTGCTGTTATAAAATAGGACAGACATGAGGCGTTGGGAAGAGAATGGGAAAAGAATGGACAGATAATGAATAGGTCAGATGAGGGAAAGAACTGTCTGAAAGGAATATATGGTTAGGTATCCTATGTATGGACAACAATCTGGAACAAGTGGTGCATTACAGGTAGGAGATAAGGGAAGGTGGAAGGAAACGTGTAACAATGAGAAAAAATTAAACCATTTTCAATGTTTTTGTTAAAAAAATATTTAGACAGGGAGCTTTGGTGGCCTAGTGGCAAGAAGCTGCACTACAATCCCAGAGGTATGCGGTTCAAATCCACCAGATGCTTTGCTGGAAAAGGAGGAGCAATCTCCTCCTGTACCAGTCAGATCTGATTTGACAGTACCCACACACAATAAAATACAATACAAAAGAAAAATTAGAAAAGGAATAAACATAAATTCCTTTGGGGGGAAAAGTGTGACTGGTTACAATGAGAATTTTATCATTCTTACCTTACTCCAAGGTTTTCAAGAAGAGATTCATCGAGAAAAGACAATAGTGAACCAGTGATTTTATTTTCTGTGAAAGAAACAAAGAGGGGAAAGGTGAATAAATTATTTACAGCAATTTCCCAGTTCCAAAGTCAGGGTCCTAGCTCTCAGGAAGGCCTTCTGTGCTATTGGCTCTGGTTCTTATTCCTTGAGATTCCATTCCTGGGTGATTTTCACACAAACTGGTATGTCTCTTTCTCAGTCTCTGCTCTGATTCCTTACTTAATCTTTTTTAATCTCAAAAGAAAATGATTCAAAATATACCCTATACCAATCCTTTTTCACTAACATAATAAAGGTAACTCATTTTCAAATAGGATTATAAGCACAGGCAGAGAACTAGGATTTACAACATGTTTATGGAGACATAGTTGAATCCGTGAAATAATCTGTTGTCTTCTGCTCAATATGTCATTAATATTTTTATTGTCAATTATTACATTTTACAATGGCTATCTGTTTATTCCACAATGTAGATGCACTATTACATACTGAACCAATTTAGAGAGAAGGAGAATAAGGCCCAGAAAAAAACTGATTCAGTATGTAATATGTCTCCATAAATGTGTTGCAGTTCCCAGTCTCTGCCTGTGCTTATACTACTGTCTGAGAATGAGTTACCTTTGTTATGTTAGTGAAAAAGGATTGGTATTTGCAGTATGCCCACTGTGTTTAAACCCACTGAAGCAGTCACTGTGTCAGTCTAGCTCATTTCACTGAAAGGTTTCCTTTCCTCTGGACTCTCCACTTTCCTAAGCATGTCCTTTTCCGGGTACTGGCCTTTCTGACAACAGGCCCAAAGACAAACTCATCAACTCTGCCTCAAAGGAACACTCAAGCAGTAGCTCTTCAAACACAGATTTGGTTGTTCTTGGAACATTCTTGACATGTTTTTATTTATTCACAGTACAGTCAATATTCTTCAACAACACTTCAACAACCAATATTATTCAAAGGCATCACCTGGTCTTTATTTACTCTCCAACTTCAGTATATATATATGAAGCAACTGAAACTACGACAACTTGAGTTAGGCAAATTTCAGTCTTTACATTGATACCCTTGTTTTTTTAGCACTTTCAAGAGGTCCTTGGCAGCAGATTTGTCCAATGTAAAAACATCATCAACTTGTGGTTGCTGTGAGGCTGAACCTGTGACATTGATGTGTCAAATTGCATTAATAGTTGGCTACCTAATGTGGACAGAGAGTGGGGTGGAGTTTCCCGATTAAAACAAGCTTGGAAGGAGGAGTGGCATCCACTTCCATAATAGCTTGCCTCCGGAAACCCTATGAACCTGGAGAGAGGATGAAAAGGCACCCAAGGGTCAAGGACTCTCTTAACAAAACAACAATAACTTGCGATACAGAGAAGATTAGCATGGCCCCTGCGCAAGGATGACATGCAAATTCGTGAAGCGTTCCATATTTTCGACCCTGAAATTAACCAGTCTGTAACGAAGGCTAACTCCTTTCACTTATAGATTTCGTCTTTGGATACAAAGCTAAGTGGAAAGTCCTTACGGAGGGACTGTTTAAAAAGAGGCAGGGAGAATAAAAGGGAAGAAAAAAAAACCACAACAATAACAACAACAATGTTGAGGGGTAAACTATACTGAAGGCAGTATATATATATATATAAAATTGTGTTTATATTATTATATATTATTAGGGAGCTCTGATAGTTACTATAGTTTTTAGTTTTAAAAGTGAAGAGTCAATGGTGCAACCACTGTGGAAGGCAGTATGGTGCTTTCTCAAAAAGTTGCAAATAGAGATTCCATTTGACCCAGCAATTCCACTACTGGGAATATACCCCAATGAGACCATAACTGACATCCAAGCAGATATATGCACACCCATGTTTATTGAGGCTTTGTTCACAATAGCACGGAGTTGGAAACAACCTAGGTGCCCATCAACAAATGAATGGACAGAGAAGCTGTGGTATATTCACATAATGGAATACTGTGCTGCATTGAAAAACAAGGAACTCATGCAATATTATTCAAAATGGGTCACTCTGGAGGACATTATGCTGAGTGAAGTATCTCAATCACAAAAGGATAAATACTGCATGGTGCCACTGCTGTAAAACAGGACTGACCTTGGGGTTGGGGAGAGACTGAGAAAGATGGGTTCAATAATGTATACTGCATTGAAACAGATGAGGGAGAAAACTGTTTAAAAGGGATATGTGATTAGGTATATTTGTCATGACAGGAGTCTACAGTGAAGGCTACATGGTGGAATGGACCTGGGGGAGGGTTTGTAAAACAATTAAAGAATTATTCTTTTACTTTTCCAAGAGGATAGTGTACAAGGGGGGAGGGTTGGGAGGGAAGAAAAGTGCAACAATGAATGAATGGAAATCCAAAGTCTCTGTAAATTTTTACTGAAATTAATAATAAATTTAAAAAATAAATAAATAAAATTTTTTAAAAAAGAAGAGTCAAAAGTTATCAAACACCAAAAAAAGGCACTATTAAACTGTTCATTAACATGGTTATATTCAACACTATCTTAAACTCTACTGGACATTTCTGTTATCATTAATCTTTTACATTTTTTCCAAATCTAAAGTGAAAATTGTTTGTTTATTGTTGAGAGTGAACATCTTTACCTGTGTTTACTGGCTAGCTATCAAAGTCTGTTGTGTTCTTCCCATTTTTCTAATCTCTCTCACACACACACACACACACACACACACTCTCTCTTATCGGACTTCCTAACTTTGGTTACATTCTGTCATGTTTTTACTAAAACAACTTTTCAGGTAGAGCTGGAATGAGTTCTGAAGTCCATGGACCTAGGCTGACAATCTAGCTTTTTCATAGCTATATGACTTTTGCCAAATTATTTAATATCATTGGACCTCAAATAACTTACCTGTTTTTTAAAACAATGTAGGTTGAAAGCATTTAATTTTCAGAGATTCTGTCACAAGAGGACATGAATCCAGCAAGTCTGCACTGTCTTCAAATGCACTAGACTGCAGGTTCAAGAGAACACAGCAATCTGGAGGCTGTGGAATTAATCTACAGAACATTCAAAGAGAGATGCAGCAACTTTGGTCACAAAGTGAAGACAGAAAAGTAAATTGCTACTCAAAGAAAAATTCTATCCCTATCTTTCAGGAAAAGAAAACAAAAACAAGTAAAAGGAAAAAAAGGGAACAAGAAATCTATTCAAGCTAATTTAAGGGACTCCTCCCTGGGTCTCAATTTGAGCAAATCTGGCTCCATTCAACCATTACAAAACTTAATTTGCAAATCACAACCACCGATAGAACCACATCCTGTGGAACATCTGGGAGTATAAGGAGTCAGGGGCTAAGTTTCACATCCCAGCTCAGAAAGTTGATAGATTTCCTATAGAAGGATGCTCAACATGAGCCAGTAAAGTTGCTTCAAACTCACAACCCACTCAAAGTCTACACTGTCGCAGGCATCTGTGGTCAAGCTGTGGGGTGCTGGGGTTCAGGGTTCAGAACGAGCAAGGGAAGTGCATCTGCAGATCTTTGCACTGCTAAACTCAGTGACCCAGTCAAACATTTCCTGAGCCCTACGAAGATGCTCATCAGAAACTGGGAATCCAGAAATTAACAAATGCCCTCCCTCTCTGTCGGGAGAATCCAGGGTGAAATAAAGAGATACTGAAAAGCCTCGGAACATACTTTAACGGGCAAAATGGGCAAGGAGTTGCAGAAACACCAGAAACACAGCCTGAGAGGCGGCCTTCCAGGCCAAGTGTCTCCCTGGAAAAAACTCCAAATGTCATCTTCCAGGAGCTGGCGCCTCAAGTTCCAGAAGAAACCCACATCAGCAACTCCCATCGCCTCGGCCAAGTTAGCAAAGCCTCATGTCGTCCCACGTCTCCCGGGCAAGATTCCATTCCAGAGCTCGGGTCCCTTTCCCCAGAAAGTTTTCGGTCTCAGTTCGCCACCCCGGCCTCCATCCCTGCGAGCGCCCTCCGCCTGTCTCAGTCTCAGCCAGCATCGAGACTCCCCTCTCCGTTTTACGTCCTCCTCTCTGAGTCTCCTCAGCCCCAGCTGGTCCTCTGCCCGTCTCGGTCCCCCGAGCACCCACCCCTACCTCGGAAACGTGTCTGCAGCTGGGGATCACTGAAGCCATTGCGCTTTAGGAAGGCGCACACCTGCTCCGGGTCCCAGGTCTGGTGGTCAGGGTGGAGTTCGGGGCCCGGGGACCTCTCCGCCTCTGCGGTAGGGGTGCTCGGCGGCGTCCTCGGGCTGCCATTGTAACGGGGCCGCTTGTACGGATGCTCCGGGTCCGCGCTCTGCATTCCCGCAGACAGCACGCAGCACAGCCGAGTCAAGAACCGCGGCGTCCGGCTGCGCGCAGACGCAGTGGCCGCCGAATCCCAGAGACTAGTCCGTACCTGCGGCAAGCGCAGGCGCAGTGGCAATTTAGCCCTGGGCTTAATGAAGTCCATTAGCGCCTGACAAATGCCCATCTGCGCAGGCGCAATATCAACACACATTCGTCCCTTCGGCCAAGTGCAAATTAAGGGGCGGAGTTAGAGGTGGTTCTAAGGGAGGGCCTTCCGTAAGGTGTTAAAAAACTGGTGGTGGAGACGCCAGCTCTCAGCTGGTTCTGCTACTGGTTTATTTTGCTGTTGCCCATCTGTCTCCAGTAGAGCTGCTGGTGGATTCGAACCTGCAGAGAAGCACCGCCTTTAGAGTAGCAGCGCAGCTCTCTTTGGTGACACCTAGCTGCACTCTAGAATGGTGGCTCTTCTGGTGAAATAAAGTTAATGTCTTTTAGCTGTATTTAAGACGCCCTTATATATTGGAACTACTGGCTTCTGTTCACTATGTTTTCATAATACATTTAAAAGGCCTTCAACCTGCCATACTAGCACCTATCCAACGAAGATGGAAAAAATGGACGAGGCACTGAAGTGATCTGAAAATGTAAAACCGGATGTGTGAGTACCTTTCACTTTCAGTGGTTCTAGAATGAACTGCCGGGTGCCTGCTACCCTTGAACTCTGTGTTATTGTTGCTGTTGGGTACCGATGAGTTAGTTCTGGCCCTTAATGACTCCATATAAACAGTGCCCAGTCCTTATTGGCTCCATATAGAACAGTGCCCAGTTCAGCGCCATCCTCACAAGCATTGCTATGTTTGAAACCAGTAGTGGTGCCATTCTGTCAATCTAATTGAACGCCTTCCTTTTTTCCCACTGATCTCTCTACCAAATACAGTGTCTCTCAAGCGACTGGCCTTTCTTGGTAACAGATCTAAAGTGTGTGATACAAGTCTCAACATCTTTGCTTCTAAGGAGCATTCTGGCTACCCTTCAAGACAGATTTGTTTCTTCACTTAGTAATCTGTGATACCAGTATTTTTGGCCAATACCACAATTCAAGATATGTCCTTTGTTTACTAATTGCAGCTTTTGTATGCATATGGGACACCTGAACATACCATGAATTGAGTCAGGGGAGGAAGAAGAATGTCACAATTTCCCCAGGTCTTACTTACTCCAGGCCTGACTATTCTTTGAAAAAACTTGCTAATTTACACTCCTGATAAGGCCCTAGGCCTGATCACACATTGAAAGAACCCATCTTTGTAAGGTTCTGGGCCTGATCACACATTGAAAGAACCTCTGTCCCCAAATTCCTGAACAAATTAACACGTATCTAAATCTCCCTAAAAGTCCCCATAAAAAAAAAAATGTCTTTGTCTGCCTTTGCCTTCTCACCACTCTGATCCTTTCTTAGACCAATCAATAAAGGCCTGTTTGTTTCTTAGGACCAGCTTCTTTCTCTCTTTTTTCTGTCTAACAAGGGGCATCTTAGTCTTCAAAGTGACATCTTGGCTTTTTAACAGTTTAATGAAGTCATTTGCAACAGATTTGCCTTTGATTTTTGTTATTATTAATCCATCCTTTGACTTATTGACTGCTGCTTCCACGGGTCTTGATTGTGAATCCAAGAAAAAATGAAATCCCTAACAACATCAATCTTTTCTCCAGTTACCATGATGCCACTTATCGGTCCAGCACTCTTCTTCATATACTCCAGCTTCTCAGAGTATTTGCTCAGTATAGAATAAATAAATAAATAAATAGAATAAGTAGGGTTAAAGCACACAACTCTGTCCTTTCCTGATTTTAAACACTGCTAGGTTTCCATAAAGGAGCAGGCTTCAAAGTTCTACTTGACAAAGTACTCTGAGCTCCTCTATCCAACCATTTTATCTTAGGCCTGAAGGCACGCAGATGTCCAGAGGCCAGGAAGCCCACAGCTATGTGACAAGTTGGTCTACTCTTCCTGCCACCTCTACTGCTGCTGGCTCTCCACCACTGCTTTGAGTCATCTCTTGATCTTACAGTTCTCCCTCTATTCAATGTTTAAATTATCCCACCCACAAACTCTAAGAAATTAATGCTAAAATAACAATGAGAAAAATGGTTCTTTAAATCATATGGTCTTCTTTTATGTTATTTTTTTTTTGTTGTTTTTATTATTTTGTGTGCGTGTACTGTCAAATCAGATCTGACTGGTACAGGAGGATATTGCGCCTCCTTCTCCGGCAGAGCATCTGGTGGATTTGAACCGTGTTCCTCTGGGATTGCAGTGCAGCTTCTTGCCACTAGGCCACCAGAGCTCCCCCTTTCTTTTATGTTATTGATACTATCTAAATATCATCCATTTTTAAGCTAGTATTCTAAAAAATTTCTTTGGAGATTAAAGGAACATTTAACAACAGAAAGACTAAAATCTGCTTAATTAATACTGTTCTAGATGGTGAGAGGGATATATCTGATTATGTTTTAGATGCTTATCTATTGTTGGTTTTGTGTACCGTTGAGTCAGAATTAACCCATAGCTGACCCTCCAGTGGATTTTCAGAGGCACTTAATCACACGGGAGGAGAATGCTCATCTTTCTCCCATGGAGCAATTCATGAATTTGAACAGTTTATCTTTGGGTGGCCTGCACATCACCTAACTACTAAGTCACCAGAGCACCCTGTAATTATATATAAGCTATATATTCTTTATATTTTAGAATGTCATTGTTCTTAGGTGCCATCAAGTCACCTGTGGCTCCTAGCGACCCTATGTACAACAGCTCTGAAGCCTGCCCTGTCCTGAGCCAGTCTCACGGACTCTGATACACCTACTCCCACTGTCGTACTTAGTTTATCAATCCATCTCATCCGAGATCTTCCTCTCCTGTGCTGTCCCTCCAGCCTTCTGAGCATGATGTCCTTCTCCAGGGACCAATCCCTCCTGGTCACATGCCCAAAGTATGTGAGGCAAAGCTTCAAAATCCTAGTTTCCAAGGAGAAACTTGGGTTCATCCTCTCCAACACAGACTTATTTGTCTTCTTGGCAGTCCATGGTATATTCAAGGCTCTTCTCCAGTACCACAACTCAAAGGCATCAATTCTTCTTCTATCATACTTAGTCATTATCCAGCTCTCTGATGCATAGCAAGTAATAGGGTTGGTTAGTGAAAGAGGAATAAACTCAATGAGATGAAAGTGACAAAGTGACTGCATCAATGGATTCCAATATGTCAGAGATGATGCAGGTGGTACAGGACAGGACAAGGTTCATATCTGGTGTTCATAGGGTCACTATGATGGCACTTAATAACAACATATACACTTGAAAAGACATAGTTTATAAATTTCCTGGAACATGTAAAGATAATGCTTTTTGCAAGATGGGTTCAGTTAGTAACCAACACTTTCTGTTGCTGCTGTACTCACACCACTGGAAATATGGGAGAAGATATTTACAAAACCTGCTTGGTTACATTTCAAACCCCCACTCTGACCCCTTCACAATTGGTTACCATGACAAATAATGTCACAGCTGAGAACTTTACTGCAAACTAGTCATTCTAATGACTGTACACATTATTTATCTAATGATAAATAACTGTATTAATATTTGCAACAGTCACTGTTGACAACGTCAAAAGCATTTTAGAACGTGTAGACATGGCTGGACAAAACTTACCAAAAATAACTTGATATATAAGGGTAACTCAAAAATCATTGCTTTAAAAAATCATAGAGACTTTTAGTAAACAAAAATATAAAGCAGCTTTCCAGCCTGGTTCCGGCACTATGGCCCCCGCAAAGAAGGGTGGTAAGAAGAAGAAAGGCCATTCTGCCATCAACGAGGTGGTGACCAGAGAGTACACCATCAACATTCACAAGCGCATCCATGGAGTGGGATTTAAGAAGCGTGCTCCTCGGGCACTAAAGGAGATCTGAAAATTTGCCATGAAGGAGATGGGCACACCAGATGTTCGCATTGACACCAGGCTTAACAAAGCTGTCTGGGCCAAAGGAATAAGGAATGTCCCATACCGCATCCGTGTACGGTTGTCCAGAAAACGTAATGAGGATGAAGATTCCCCAAACAAGCTGTATACGCTGGTTACCTATGTACCTGTCACCACTTTCAAAAATCTACAGACCGTCAATGTGGATGAAAACGAATAGCTGATCGTCAAATAAAGTTATGAAACTGTCAAAAAATATGTAAAGAAACGAATATTTCTTGATATACTCTAGGTCTATATGGTTCTGAAGGTGGTATTTCCATCTTTTTAACCCTTTCCTAAGGGAGCACTGGTAAGTAGTATGATATTGTGCTGCCAATGGTGAGGTATGTGGTTCGAATCCACCACGTGCTCCATGGGAGAAAGATGGGCAATCTCCTCCCATGTGACTTACTGCCTCTGAAAACTGGCTGGAGAATCAGCTATGGGGTCAATTTTGACTCAGTGGTATTAAACAACAACAACTACCCTCCCTGAAGAATTCTATACTTTGATTTACAATATGTCAAAATGATAGGTTTTGCAGCCTCCAGGGACTCAAATCATGGTCCTTTTACACGTTCTTTGAGTTTTAGGGTATAGAAAAATGTCTCAAGAGTCAAGGTCAGAGCTGTAGCATGGCTGGGCTAGGATTTTCTAGTGAAGGGCATAGATTTCCCCAGCAACTTGGGCTAAGATTTTGAAGAATGGCACGTGAGTTGTCATGATGGGGTTAAAAAAAATCCTTGGCACAATTTTCCTATCTTTTCCTCACTAATGCAACTTACAATTTTCTTAAAAACACATGCTCCTCATGATTTTATTTTCTATTTTCAAGGAAATCTACCAAGATTAACCTTATAGGATCCCATAAAACAGTTACCTTTTGGTGAGCTCTGGTGGCCTAGTGGCAGGAAACTGCACTGCAATCCCAGAGGTGGTGGTTGTTGTTATGCGCCTTCGAGTTGCTTGCACCTCATAGCGACCCT